TTATTTTTGCTGATACAGACTAACACGGCTACCACTCTGAAACCTGTATCATCATAAACTCCACCAAGCAATTCAGCACAGTCAGCACACTCACTTCTGATTAAACCAGATTGTAAACGATTTGGGGCAGGGCTTTCCTTGCTTCTCACTATGTGTTTAGGCAGTGGCTGCAACAATGGGGAAGATGTGGGCCTCCATGTGCTACTTCTCTATAAATGGTAATCATTAAAAGGAAGTGGAGGGCTGAAATAAGCAGGGGTTCTGTAGGTCAGACTGGGCACACTGGCAGGGTCATCTGCTCGCACTATACACATTCCATCTCATCCTGATCCTTGCTCTTGACCTCACTGGGGCCGAAAAAGCGCTCAATACCTCACAGCCCTGGGCCCTCGAAGAGTAGCCACTAGCTCCCATTACCCTTCATGGGGAACACGGGCAAACAAGCCAGACCTTTGAAGTGGGCCAAAGCCACGGAAAGATTAAGGTAGGATCAGCTCCCCGGGCGAGTCTGCGAGCAGCACCCGCTGGTTCCCGGCAGGGAGAAGGTTCGGGGCCATGGATGCAGGGGGACTGGCAGCCCCGGAGGCGCTCCCTGGACCAGACTGGGCGGCAGGGGATCCCTGTGGGGGAGGGAAGGACCCGTTGTGGGGGTTGGGAAAGAGTCAGGAACAAAACTCGCCGGCCCCGCACGCGCGCCCCAGTTACCTGTCTAGCAGCGGCCCCTGCAGGCACTTGACGGCCACCGGGACCCTCCAGTCGGCGTGGCGCGCCGAGGACACGGTGCCGTAGGCGCCCCGGCTGAGGAAGCACAGGTCGGGCAGCTTGCTGGAGGGGATGGTGGGCAGCGCGCAGTTAATGCTGCGGGACGAGCCGCCGCCGCCGCCGCCCCCGCTGCTCATCGTGGCGCCAGGCCCCGCGGCCGCCGACACGACCCGGCTGCTGCCCCGCTGACTAGGGCTGGGAGGCGGCTCCGGGAGGCCGCCAGAAGGACTCGCAGGAAGCCGCGTTCCGGGTTGGCTGGCTCCGGGACGCCGCCAGAGGGACTCGCAGGAAGCCGGGTTCCGGGCTGGCTGGCTCCGGCCTCTCCCTACCCCCACGCACCAGCAAAGGGCGCGGGGACGTGTCCCGAGCGCCCCCTGGCCGGCCTCGCCTCTCCCCCCACCACTAGCCCCGCGCCGCCAGCCTCGTCGGGGGTCCCGCTAAAAACCCGTCTATGTACCCACCGCCCCCTATTCTCCTCCAGCCGCCGGGACTTCCCCACAGCCTCCCAGACCCCTTAGCCCCCCTCCGGCCGCAGGGACCTCCCCACAGCCCCCTTAGCCCCGCCTCCAGCCGCCGGGACTTCCCCCTAACCCCCCTCCAGCGACAAAGCGGGCTGCGGTTTCAGCCCCTTCCTGGCTCCGAGCGTAGCCGCTAGCGGCTAGAATTCGTCCCCCGGTTTCCCCGTCTCCGGGCTCTTCTTCTTGCAGCCACCAGAGCCCCCCAGAAGCATCATCGCACGCGGGGAGCCTCCTAGCAGCCTGGGCTGAGAGAGGGGGATAGGCGCGCACACCAGATCTTCAAAGATCAAAAGTAAGGGGAGCCCCAGTCGCTGGGGACAGGAGCCTCGGAGAGCGCCGGGGCCCGAGCGCCGCCCCCAGCCTGGCCTCCTCCAGGGAGCAGCACACACAGGCACCCTTCAATCTCAGTTGCTCTCGACGGAGACGGAGACGGAGACGGCGGCGGCAGCGCGGGAGCCCTCACCCTTTCCGGAAATCGGCGGCTTGTAGTCAGGGAAGTCTGAGCCAGAGCGGTGCGTGAAACTGGGAGCTGGGAGCGAGCGCGGAAGGGTGGGCTTGCGGGAGGGGAGAGCGAGTGGATCAGTGTCTGGTGCTGTCCGCTTTCCCACGTCCTTTCTCGGAATACAAGCGAGGTGAGCACTACAGCTCAAGCGCGTCATTATTGTAGCAACATTTTGGTAACTGTCATAAGTATCAGTGGCAAGGGTGTTACTGTCTTGTAACTGGTTTTGATGACGTGTAAATGCCAAGCAAGGGAGGAGTGCGCTGTTCGGAAGGAAACATTTGAAACAAAACTTTTAAAGACTCCGCAGTTCTTTCTCTACAACGCTATTCATAAGGTATGGCAAAGTGAAGGAAAGCCGGCGCATAAAGCCTTTGTTCAATAAAATCTATTAAAACGTTGCAATTTGCCGTTTTTCCTTGACAGCCTTTTTTGTTACTTTTGTTGCCTTGCAAGTGGGCTTTAGATCAGGAAAAATCGGGTAAGTGCTTACTTTCAAAGTGATTTTAGAGGTGATGCGTTTGGGAAGAGTCAGTGGACCCACGAGCGTGAACTCTTCCTTGTCACTTTCAGCGACTTTCTGCATGTTGAGCTGCTGCAAACATAAAGCTCACTAACCTTATTAAGTAACTTGTGCTGAGTGCCCTAATACTAAAAGTTCTTCTCTTTGCCTCCTTCAGTTGCTCAGGTATGGTAATGGGTGTGGAATAAGAACATCAACAGAATAAAATCTTCATTTCCACTATGCAAATACTGAGAAATGAAAGTCAGTAATTGAAAGCTGTGGGTTGTTGAGTTTTTCTGAATCTCACTTCCATTTGTACTTTGTCAGAGAAAAAATATAAAGGTAGTTGGACCAGATTAAAATGCTAATTGCCAATATGGCAGCTCTTGTATTATTTAGATTTTTATTTCTTAGAGATATTTCTGTACTGTTATTTTAAAAGTAGCAAATAGTTAACTCCCAGTGGCCCCAATTCTGCAAAAATTTAGCTACCTGATTCACTTTATACAGATGCTTAACTTGACTCCCGTGTACATCGTTGCAGGATCAGGACTAGTATTTGCATATTTACCAGTTATAGTTCTTCTATTGTAATGAAGAAGTTTTAAAGTAAAAAATATAATTTTTCAAACAGAATTGACAGATACTCCATTAAGTCATGATAGTAGGCCTACCTGTCACATGTTGAAACTGAAGGCCATATGCACTACCATCTGAGGAGTATGGTAGTAGCTTACAATTTAATTAATTTCTCCTGCTGTGGTTTTATTGCCATTAAAGGACCATTATATTTCAATTTTATTTTAAAAAGATCCCTACATAGTGTTGACAGGTGTTCAGTTTTTTACCAGAACACCCAGTCAAAAAGGGACCCTGGAGGCTCCAGTCACCGGCGCTGACCGGGCCGTTAAAAGTCCAATTGGCAGCGCAGCGGGGCTAGCAGGCTCCCTGACTGGCTCCGCACAGCTCCCAGGAAGTTGCTGGCATGTGCCTCTGGCTCCTAGGTGGAGGAGCAGCCACAGGGGCTCTGTGTGTTGCCCCCGCCCTGAGTGCCGGCTGGGAACCACAGCCAATGGGAGCTACAGGCAACATGCGGAGACCCCTGGCTGCCTCTGCAGAGGAGCTGGAGGGACATGTCGCCACTTCCCAGGAGCCACCTGAGGTCAGTGCTCCCTCGAGCCTGCACCCTGAACCCCCTTCTGTACTCCCACCCACTGCTCCAGCTTGGCACCCCTTCCACACCCAAACTCCAGGAGCCGGCACCCCACACCCAACCCCCCTGCCTCAGCCCAGAGCCCCCTCCTGTACTCCAAGCCCCTCATTCCTGGCCCAACCCCAGAGCCCTCACCTGCCCCAGCCTGGAGTGTCCTCCCACACTCTGAATCCCTCAGCCCCCTCTTACATCCAAACCCCCCATCCCTGGCCCCAACCCAGAGCCCCAACCCCCAGCCCCAGCCCGGTGAAAGTGAGTGAGGGTGGGGGAGAGCGAGTGATGGGGGGGGGTATGGAGTGAGCAAGGGCAGGGCCTTGGAGAAGGGGCAGGGTCTTTGGAAAGGGGTGAGGTTGAGGGCAGGGCAAGGGTGTTTAGTTTTCTGCAATTGGAAAGTTGGCAACCCTATCCCTAAAACTTCAAGAAGCTGGGAAGTCGAGTTAAAGGAAGAGGAGAGAGATCCTAAGCGTCCTCCTATGAAAAGTGGTTTCTAATAAATGGAGGACAAAAAAAGTGCTGTTTTTAATATCCGCAACATATATTTCAACTCCCCTAACCCCCCCACCCCCCTATTGATCCATTGGATAATTTGTATCTCCTTGTTGTGTTTTTGTGCCCCAAGAAGCTTGGTTGCCCTTTCAGCCACAGATTGTAATAATTGCTTTTCATTTTCTATTAAAGGAAGTAAAGTTGGAATATTTAATAATTCCCACTATAGTCTTTGAAACAGAAAGTGAGCTAAAAGGGGCTGCAGAGCTACAAACTACTACTGAAAAGGCAGTGTGTCACTTTAGAGGGAGAGAATCAGTTTAAAAACTATTGCTTTCTTTTCCAATCCCACAGCCTCAGCTACCTCGCTTCCCTCCCTCCCTCTGGTCTTGTCTACATTACAGAGTTTTGTTGACTAATGTTATGTCAACACTCAAAAAGTGCTATAATAAAAATCAGTATTTCATTTTCACACTATACGCCCTCTGGTGGCAGAGCCCGTCCACATTTGGAGCACTAACATTGACAGTGTGAGCAGTGTACTGTCCCACAGTCTAGCTCAACACCTACTTCCGCTAGGCCTTGTGGGAAGGTAGAGAAGATTGCGGTGCATCTTGGGACTGGGTTCAAAGTCCCATGAGGCATTGTTTTCTATCCTAGGATTCCACGGGCTTACAGCTTTCTTTTGTGGCATTTTTCAATTGGTTTGCTGTGCTCCCCGGCATCTCTATGTGAAGGGATGGATCCCTCGCTGCTCTCCCATGCTCTGATTACTGTCATTAACACATTGTGCATGGCAGTTCGGTTAATTATGAAGTTGCTAACTGAACAGGACTCCCAGTTGCCTGATCTGCTGTGATATGGATAGAAGCAACTTTAGATTTTCTTTGGCATTCAAAGAACAGCTGCACAAGGTGAAACATCCCTTTTGGGCTCAGGAAACAAGCCCTGAGTGGTGAGATTGTATTGTCAGGCAGGTCTGGGATGACGGGCAGTGGCTACAGAACTTTCGGATGCGGAAAGCCACCTTTCAGGAACTGTGTGGAGCTTCCCCCAGCAGTGCAGTGCAAGGACACCAAAATGAGAACTACCTTATCGGTAGAGAAGCGCATGGTTATCACAGTGTGGAAGCTGGCAACTCCAGACCACCACCGGTCAGTCGTGAATCAGTTTGGAGTTGGGAAGTCAACTGTTAGGGCTGTGTTAATGCAAGTGTGCAGGGCCATTAATCGCATTCTGCTATGAAGGACCAAGACTCTGGGAAATGTGTGTGAAATAGTGGACAGCTTTGCAGAAATAGGTTTCCCTAACTGTGGCAGGGTGATAGATGGCACACACATTCCAATTTTGGCACCAGACCACCTCGTGACAGAGTACATCAATAGGAAGGGGTATTTCTTCATGATGTTGCAGGCACTTGTGGATCACTGTGGGTGTTTCACTGACAGCAACATGGGGTGGTTCCAGAAGATTCATGATGCATGCATCTTCAGGAACTCCAGCCTGTACAGAAAGCGGCAAGTGGGGATTTTTTTTCCAGACCAGAAGATTACAGTGGGGATTGTTGAAATGCCCATAGTGATCCTGGGACACCCAGCTTACCCCTTACAGCCATGGCTCGTGAAACCTTACACGAGAAACCTTGACAGCAGTAAGGAGCGGTACAACAACAGGCTGAGTAGATATCAGATGACTGTGGAATGTGCCTTTGGAAGATTAAAGGTGCACTGGCAATGCTTTTATGGCAGGTTAGACCTCAATAAGGATAATATTCACATGGTCGTAGCCGTGTGTTGTACATTGCATGATATTTGTAAAGCTAAGGGTGAAAGGTTTGCTCGGGTGGAATGCTGAGGCAGACTGCCTGGTTGCTGATTTTGAGCAGCCAAATACCTGGGTTATCAGCGGGGGGCAATTTGAATCAGAGAGGCTTTGAGGCAACACTTTGAAAATTAGAACCAGTAATGTATATCCCTGCGCTTAGTACTGCAATGTTATATTACTTCTAGTTATCCTAGGAAGGAATTGTATATTTTGGGATCTTAAATTCCAGTAAACAAATGATTAAACTGCCTGTGTGTGTCTTGGTAGTGCCTGCTATCTCACTTTGTAGGACACAGATAAAGATTACTTATTGTGCAAAAACTTTGCTTTTATTGCACAAAAAAGTACACACACACTTGATGGGAAAGGAGGTAGCAGGGATGGGCAGACTTTCAGAGCTGTGGGTAGGTCCAACTATCATTTTGAAAGTTGTCTGAGGAGGTGGAGTGAATGGGAAAC